TAGTAAACGCGATCATTTTTATATTTATAAAGTTAAGCTTATATAAATTTTATATAATAGTAGGGATCAAACGTGCTATGTACGTTTCTAGGACTAGTATATATATATATATATATATATATAATATATAATATATATATATAAATAAATAAATAAATAAAAATTGTTAAGCGTTAAGCGTTGAGAAAGAAATTGTTATTTGATTCTCTTTTCATTGTGCTAATCAATGGTACAAATTGATACATTTACTTTGTACAAAAGATAGTATTTCCTAGTTACTAATATAGTATTTTGACTAGCATTATAAATGGTCATAAAAGATTAGGTACATATGCTTCGATTACAATTTGCATTTGATTGTTCATTTGTGTTTGGGGTGCATACATTAATTTCTAACTCTTTACCACAAATTTTTTTTTAGTTAGATTTTCTATTATATCATGTATTTGCATTGAAAAATAAAAATAATAAGAGCGAAAACTATTTTTTTTATGGCTAACTCTTTTGAAAAAGTTTTTAAAAAGAGTCGTAATATCTAACAGATCGAGAGTTATGTTGGTCATATAAAATGTCAATACATAAAAAATGAATGAAAAAACATTATTTGCGAGTTATAAAACACAGAGAAAGAAAATTGTATAAGGACAAGCACTCCGACTTAAAAATTCTATTACCAAATTATTCAAAAGTTCGGTATTTCCGTTAGCATGTTATTCTATCGAAAATTTAAAAATTCCGAACCGAATAGTAAATGAGCACCTCTAATCTTCGTTTATAGCTTAACTTAAATATAGTGAAAATCATTTTACTTGATTTAATTAATAATGTCCAGACTGGACTTTAGGTTATAAATTCTGACACTGAAAAAATTTGTCAGATAAATTCTTGTGGTCTCTCATACTTTTCTCTATAAATACTTTCTACGCTTAGAAGTTACAACTCATAATTCTCTTTTATATATCCAATGTCGTCGGCGGGGAACACTGGCGTCGGAGAAATGGCCGGAAGTTCAGCTCTGAATTACTTCTGCTACGGATGTCAGAGCACTGTGAGCTTAACAAATTCTGAACTCTCATGCCCTAATTGCAATGGTACATTTGTAGAAGAATCCCCTTCTCCAGATCCTGTTACCAGAGCAAATCCCGACTCATCGTTTTGCTTCCCCACCGATTCCGGTAACAGAAGCGACGATGAAGTTTCTGCACTCATCGAAAGTGGTTTCGGCCAATCACCAGTTGAAGTAGACCCTGTTACGTTCATCAATAGGGATGGTGATGGAACTATTCAATTGCTGCTTGAAAACAATCCTGAGAATGAGGTACCGATTATCTTTGGTGACTTCACTGTGGGGCGGCATTTCTTGCAGCTGATCCGTCAACTTGCTG